GCTAGGTATAGCTGTTCGCAAAGATTAGGGGAAGGTTAGATCATGTTAAAAATGGCCACCTGATCTAACTTAATTCACTCAGGTTCAGACTTTACACTTAGATCCTTAGTTAGGTCAACCAAAGTTCAAACCGTACATAAGTTTTGGAAGTTTAGACTAGTCTAGAAATGGCCAACCCAATCTAAGTTAACCCTAACTTAGAGGTAGTCTAACTTAGATCAGGTCTAGCAAGACTGATCTAATTAATGTTCTGTATAGTTCCTGGACCAGTTCCAGGGCTGAGAAAGCCCAGCTGCTGGCCCAAGCACCAGGGCTGCATTTTTATGGCCCTCCCCGCCTCCGGCACTAAGCTATTTTTAGCACCCGAGCCCCTTGCCCCACCCCCAGAGAGATAACTCCCTATGCAGACCAGCCAACCCCTCCCAAGCCTGCCAACCCCCACATTCCAGGAGCTGCTCTCAAAGCCAGTTTTACTGACATTTGCTGGTGCTGGGAGTCAATGGAAGTAAGTCAGGGTGGGTGGAGGGCCAGGCAGGATTGAGGGGGTTGGTTTGTAGGGACAGGGGGTTGTTCACCTGGGGATGGAGAGGGTTGGGGGTTAAAAACAGACCCTGGTCTCAGGGGAGAAAGAGCCACCCATCATGCTAACCACTCCAGAGTCACCATTTCCCCCAGTTGTCTGCCCACCCACCCCAACTTACTTCCATCAGCCCCCTGAGATCAGTGAATGCCAGTAAAACAAGCCCTGGGAGTTATTTTCAGGATTGAAAGAAGTGTGGCAGCATCGGGGGGAGGGAGGTGGGATGGGGGACTGAGGGGACCCATAGTGGGTTGGTGGGATCAGAAAGCCTCTCCAATCCTGCCAACCCTACCCCCAAATCCTCCCAGACCTCGTCCATGGACTCTGGTAGCCACCAAACCCTCCTGGATCCTACCAAGCCCTGAGCGGATCCCATTTGCCCTCCTGATCCCCCAAGCCCCTCAGTGGACAATGCGTGCCTCCCCACTTTTTTCCAACCCCCCAGACCTCAACAGTCCCCCAATCCCTTTCCAACCCTCCCTGCAGACCCTACTTGCCCCCTTAATCCCCTCAAGCCCTCCCCAATTTACCTTAGATTGGGTGGCCATTTTTAAATCGAATCTAACTTCCGTGGACATCTGTATATACCCAAATGTTGAAATGACTGCCAGCTTCTATGACTACATCTTCAGATCAACGGAATTGGTTAAATATGTATGACTGAGATCTATATCTGTATCCATTACTCCTGAAATGCATTTTGGGCATACTATATATTGACAGAAAACACTGATTGAGAATAGTGTGGTAAAGGGCTTGTGAAAGGAATTATGTAAGATGTAATTTATAACTCCAGAGATGGCTACACTGCAAGAAAGTGTGTTCTTAACTCAGTCAAAATAGCAGTGAAAACAAGGTAATCTGGGGATAGGTGATCCCTCAATGTTTGGAGTGCAGCCCTGGCTCTGAGCACAGCCCAGGTGAGCAGAGCCCAGTAGTGGGAGACTCCGCAGCCCCACGGAGCTGAGTCTAGCAGTGGGAGGTGGGGCAGAGCCATTTGCCAGGGCTGTGCTCAGAGCCAGGGCTGTGCTGTCAGTGGCTCCTCCACTGGCTCTCCCGCCACCTCCCACTGCTGGGCTGACTTCCACAGGGCTGGTGGAGCCGCTCGGAGCACAGCCCTGGCTCTCCCCCCCCTCCCGCCACTGAGCTGCACTCTGAGTGGCTCCTGAGGCCCACAGAGCTGAGCCTGGTGGCAGAGGCAGTGGGAGGTAGGGGAGAGCCACTGGCCAGGGCTGTACTCCGAGCAGCTCCGCCACAGGCTCTCTACCACCTCCCACTGCCAGGCTCAGCTCCATGGGACTGTGGAGCCTCCAGCAGCTGGGCTGTGGTCGGAGCCAAGGCTGCACTCTAAGTGGCTCTACCAGCCCCACAGAGCTAAGTTTGGTGGCGGGAGGCAGCAGGAGAGCCAGTGGCAGAGCCACTCAGAATGTAGCCTTGGTGAGCACAGCCTGGCAGCGGGAGACTCCACAGACCCACAGCTGTGAGCCTGGCTGTGGAGAGACAGTGGCAGAGCCACTTGAAGCACAGCCCTTGCTCTAAGTGCAGCCCTGGCCAGTGACTCCATCCCGCTGCCGGCTGCCAGGCTGAGCTCCATGGGACTGCAGAGCATCCCACAACTGGGCTGTGCTCACCAGGGTTGCACTCGAATTGGATCCACCACTGGATCTCCCACCATGTCCAGCCACCAGGCTGAGCTCCATGGGGCTGGTGGCGCCACTTGGAGCACAGCCCAGTGGTAGGAGGCAGGGAGAGCCAGGGCTGTGCTCCAAACAGCTCCACCAGCCCCACAGAGCTCAACTGGCTCTCCCAGCACTGCTAGACTCTTCCCAGGGGTGCAGGCCCCCAGATCTGCACACAGGATGATGGGAGGCTGCCAATGCTGCCTGGGGCCACCAACAGCACCAGTCTTCCCAGTGCTAGGTGCAGGATGCGCCCAGCGCCAGTCCCAGGCAGCAGCGGCAGTCTCCTGTCATCCTGCGTACAGATCTGGGGGCCCACACCCCTGGGAGGAGTCTGCCACAGCCCTCCTGGGGGCACAGGCCAGATCTGCGTGCGAGATAACAGGAAGCTATCACTGCTGGCAAGTGACATGAGTTTTGCTTTTAGCAGTTCGAGATGTGGTTTCCCAGAAACCCCTGCACCTATCTCTTTGAAACTTGGCAGGCTTCATGCCCTCAGAAGGGGCTACCACCCCTGCAGTTTTCATCAAACCCAGGCAGGAAATGACAAAGTTATAGGCACTTTCATGATTCCCCACTATAGCCTACGGGCAAAACATCGAAATGCGTCAAAACAGTAAAACAGTTTTGACGAAATGAAATAGAGCAGTGCTTCAAAATGAAAAGAAACAATGAAACGAAACACCGTCCCATGAAAATGGTGAAACAGAAATCAAAACAAAACCATGCTATTTCACACTGCCCTAGAAAATAGGTTAAGAACCACTGCTCTAATCACACCTCTGTGACTTGGAGAGAAAATTGTTGCATGTTTCCATGAACAAGTCTTTGTATGGATAGACTTGGGGGGCTGTGGGGTATGAACACCTTAAGTTTAAGACCACAGGATACCCACAGCTTGAACCCAAGCTGTTAACACTAACTAGTACCAGATTAGCTTGTATTCACGGTTAGTTTTACCAGAGTTGCCTCAAACAGGTACACCAGCCTAAAGTCAGAACACTTTATTGTTTCTTCGCAAAACCAGCATCCCTTGCAAATTGTTTACTATTATAATGCCATTAACAGATCATATATTAGCATATCTTGTAACCAGTGCTATCAAAAGTAGTCAGAGAGGCAGCCCTTCCCAGTAAAGGAAGGAGTCCCCTCAGTTTTGACCCCTATCCTCAATCAGCAAGGGGAGGAAAGAGGGAAAGAGGTAAGCGGGGCATGGACCAGAATCTATGGCCCTCGTCTGTCTTCCAGGGCAGTGTTTATCCATTAAAGTCATAGAACCAGAACTCTCCTGCTTTTCTTCTCCTCTGTCTTCATATATCCCTCTGGTTGGCCAGCTTTTATGAGTTAGATGGAGGACACAATTGGCCCTTTCTAGCCCACAGCCTAGTGTTTAGGGCACTCTCCTGAAAAGTGGGGAGCATGAATTCAAACCTCCTCAGGGTGATGGGCACCTTTCTCTGGGCTAGTGGCCTAACCACTAGGGCTAATGGATAGTGAAAGGTATGAGAGAGAATCCAACCCCCTTCCCTCCCCACTACCCATCCCATTTGTTTTTCTCTGACCATACTTTTAGGGCCTTTTACAGAGATACATACTTTCCCAGTTGAAAATGTTTAACCATAGAGTATAAATGGCTTTAGAGAATCCCTTCCATGCATGCCCATAAGGACAAATTTAGTCCCACAGGTGGGAATAGGATCTTATATCTGTGCAATTGGCAGTTAGATGTCTTTAGGCAAAATAGGATTTTTGAGCCAAAATGCCTACATTTTGCATCTACCCTGACATCAAATTTGGAAGGTTTAGCATTGCCACCCTAATGTACTCAGATCTCTTTTCTACCATGAGCTTTTAAACCTACATTTATGTGAAGTTAATTGAAAAAGAGGATAACGACAACAGCAAAAGCAAAATATTAATTGCTTTTCTGACCCCTTGTCCAAACAGGGTGCTGTGGAGGGTTGCAACTGGAATTCTATACATGGCACAAGCTGCCTTAAAAAGTGGCAATTTTAGTCCTGTTACAGTAAAGTAACCTGTTAGAAAATGCAGACAGTTGCCAATTAAAGGACAAGAAATTAAATGGGAGACAGAAAACACTGCAGAGTTTCTCTTGTCTGAGGAAAAAATGTTTCGTTTGTTGACATTGTGGAGAAACACCCAACTCTCATTTAGAGTCAGTGGAAGCTGGGTTTCTTTCCTCTGTGCTTTTACACATTTCTCCCATGGACTTTTGCACTCTCTCCAGGGTAATAGTAAATTACATAATACTAAATACAGTACCAAAAAATGCAAAACTTGCATAGAGAAATAATGAATCTTTACAAATCAATTAGTTGCTGCATTTCAAACACTAGGTACAGAGAACTGTGAGACAGAATTGCTGAACTACTGGTATGTAAGTAGAATGGCTTCAAGCAGGGGGCAAAGGACAAGAGGGTAAGGGGGTGGTGAACTAGAGTGCATTCTTGCAGCTTTATTTCCACCTGAATTTCACATTAATTTTTACAAAAATAGATGGAAATGACAAATTTCTCCATAAATAGGATGATTTTTTTTTCTCATGAAAATACTTCCGTATAATTCTGTAGCAAATAAATAACCATGACTTCAGTAACAAAACAATCAACATGACTCCTACACACACAGTTCTCTAGTTTAGACCTCAAAGCTTGCTTATGTATAAATATGTTTTCGAGTCTTCACCTCTGTTTAGTGAGTTGTTGTGAATGTTGGTGTACTCCTCTGGTGCCCCTGGCTGGTTGTTGCCACACACCATATTACTTACACTTCCTCCATCCATGCCAACTCAGCTGTTAGGAAACTCATTAAGGAAACACAGCTTGATTTTTGCAGCTGTATAGTTTCAGAATTGCCTACCTGATTAAATTAAGTGCCATCCTGCATTCACTCCCCTGTCATGACTTGGGCCTGTCCTCACACACTTTTTTTTCTCTTTAAACAAAATGAAATGCCATTCGTAGCCTTTACATTACTCTGGAAGAGATTCCTTCAAAGTTATTTCTTTCCATCTCCTCTTACCAGCCTAGTTAAACATGATAGATTCAGGGTCCTGATTTGCCATTTGAGCCATATGTCTCAAGACATCCTTTTTAGTTATAATGCCCAGCAGCCTCCTGCAAGAAGAAAGAAATGAAAGAAAAGGTTGCAGTTATCCATTTTTCCTGTCCTGCTGTAGGTGCATTTTTAAGAGCTTCCATACATCTCATATGAACCTGCACAGCTGTCATTGTTCAAAAAGAATGATAATATTTACAAAACAAAATCCTAGATAATATGTTTTTCACTATTTTGGTTATCATTGTATATTATAAAAATGAACTGTCATCAGTCTCATATATTTTTGTATGAGAAATTATATGGGGTAAAATTCACACCATTCACTCCCCACCCGCATACCCCGGTGCAGAGGGTGAGCAGCACAAGATGCCATACAGAAGTACCACTTACATTGTTTAAGTGGTGCCTAAGAAATTTAGCCTGGCCCAGAATGCCAGCATGTATTCTGTTTTAAAATTCTGAGAGCCTTACTTTCACTCAGGAGTATCTTACTATTCAGGGAGGTACTCTGACTATTGTGAAACTAAATAAGAAGTTGCTACTCAACAAGAGGTATCGAATTTTGGAATTTGGCCCTTAATAATCCTTAATTAGCAGGGCAGAGACTGGCTGGATGGGCCAGTATCTTCATGAATCTTGAGGGGCCAGAAAACTCCCTAGCTTTTCACACTTCCAGGAAGCAACCTTTCCCAGCTCATGAACCCTACTAGACACTGGAGCTTGGAACCACATCATTCTAATAGCAATCTTGCCTTTCACTTCAGTCACAGAACATGTGGTTAATGCTTTAAGACTTGCTAGAGCTAAAAACCAAGAACGAGTTTTTTCCAGAATCGTGAGTCCCCAGTGAAACACTTTAGACTTTATTTTGACAGCTACTGGGCACATATAGTCAACTAACAGACACCGATACTTGGCACTTCTGAAAGCAGCACTTACTATTTTGCTGCCCAAGCTTTAGGCACCCAAGTTTGAAAATGATAGCTCAAATCTTGATAGCCTATTTGTAAAAAAAGGTAATCACTAGATCCTGAATTGCAGTGCGTCTCTGGGAGGTTTTGAGCATGTCCACACAGGGCATCTGTTCATGTGCTCTGGGGTGAGGGAGGTGGGTGTTTTACTTAGAGCACTCCTGAGAGCTACTCTAATAAAAATGCCTGCAGTGTCTCATGTATACAGCGCCCCATGTTTCAAGATGGCAGCAGGGGCACTGTTGAACAAGCTTTAGTTAAAGTGTCCCCACTGCCATCTTGAAACATAGGACGCTGAACACATGAGACACTGCAGCATCTAATCAGAATGCTCCAGCAGACTCGATAGATTGAGTCTGCTCCGACACGTCCTGATTACAAATCACCGGAGCACATGCAAAAGTCTCCAAAGTCTCTGTCTGGACCCAAACTAAGCCCCACCCACTGATTCTTATTTGGGTGCCCCGGAGACCAGAAATTACATGAGCAGAGGCTATTGGAGCGTGCAACCCAGGGCCCAGCTTGATAATTTAGCCACAAACAGGCCTTCATATCTAGCAGAAGAAAATGAATAGAACATCCAACACTAGGAATGTTTCTGAGAGAGGGAGCAGTTTCAATCTGAAACTCTTCCCCTCTCCTCATGCCCTCCTGACACTGAGGTGATCCTGGTCTGAGGAAAGCATGGGGCGTAGGACTTGGTTTTGGTCTGCAGAGTGAGCAGGGAACAGCAAGGAATTGCTCTTCCACTTGAGTCCACCACCTCCATGGTATATCTTTGCCACTCCTAGCTAGGAGGCAGCAGTGGCCAAGGAAAACCAACTGGGACCAGGAACCAGACTTGGGGACACAGCTTCCCCATGTCAGATTATCAGTCCCTGGGTTTTGCAGTCCCTACCACGCTGCTCAGCTGAGCAGCAAGGACAGCAAGGGAAAGCCAGAGGGAGCTGCCCCCACCATATTTTCCCCATATCAGAGACTGCCTGGTTTGAGAAGGAGACAGGGAGCAATGGGGAAAATGACCCAGCCCATTCCCCAAACATAGTCCCCAGCTGAGGAACAGTCAGGGAGCAGCTGTTGCAGATCCCCTCTCTTCCTGGACCAGACCAAAAAGGCAACATACAAGTTCCCTTGCAAACTATCTTGAAACCTTCCAGGTTAAGAATTCAGGAGAAATTCAATTAATACTTTCATGTTTCTCATTTGTACCAGGAGAATGGTGATTCTCCTAATAGAAATGTAATATGGCTTCTGTTTTAAGAGAGTGTAAGAGTAGTACAAAAAGGAAGCGAAGGGTCAGGGGGACTTGTCTACTGAAAGCTGCTCTGGGGTGCTACCAGGTCATGTACCCAAACAGAAGCAAATGGGCTGTCCTAAGGTTGGAAGGAAGGCTGTATAGATCTCTAAAACCAGCTTGATTTATTTGAGAGAACTTCCCTAATGCAGACAAAACCATTTTTTCACCCATTTGATTCTATTATTGCTCCTAATCTTTTTCTCTCATGTGCTTTTTCTGGACTTTTAACCCAAGGACTTCTATTTTCACCACAATCAAACTGGACAGATTTATTTTCCTTTGTTGCCATCCACATTGTGATAAGTACTTTGCACCCATCTTAGCTTGCCTGGGAATCTAGGAGCAAACAAAGTATTTGCAAGCAATGCCTCCAAAAAAATTAAATAATATTTACCCAACTGATTTCACAGGTGACAGTTTAATTAGTTACTGTCTATAAATTACTTTGAACACTATGTTATTATTGCTTATTATTATAGCAAATTGGCTATTGCCCTTTCCTCCACTTTTAAGGGTACTTGATCATTCTGGCTCACGTGTACATGCACTTACCCACTGCGAGTGACAAGACACTGTCGGAGTCCAAGTTTCCGAAAGATGTCCACCACTGTCTCCATCGGTGTGTGGTCAGTGACGGTGAAAGGACTCAGGTTGAGAATGCGCCGTAGTTTCAGAGGATGAGGGCTGTTGGGTGGGAGCTCTGGGGGATCTTCTGTGAAATGCACAATGGAATTGCTCACTACTCCATCCTGACGCTGTCGTGCATTCTCTGTATGACAAAGAAAGAAGGCAAAAGCTAGACCAAAGTCAGTAATAACTGGCACATCCCCTCTTTGCTCTTCACATGCCAAGGTGCTAGAATAAGGAAATACAGAGCAATCTTTTGCATCTCATGGGACCACTATTGTAATTGGATTGATGTTATGATGCAAATGGAATTGGAGTCATTAACATGCCCCTTTTTATTCTGCTTGGGACTTTCTCTTTTCCAATGTGTTATTTCTTGTGTTAGGGCAGAGCTGTCCAAATGGAAGCCCATGTGGCCCATGGGCCCCTGCAGCCACTTCTCCCACTGAAGCCCACACAGTGGGGAGCCTTGTGCTGCTGGCTGTGTCCAGCAGGCAGGGGAGCCATGCACCACCATTGCTTCCTGGAAGCCACTGGCATTACCTGCACAGTTAGGGACCATGTGCCACTAATGCACCCCAGGTGGCAGGGAGGTATTCTAGGTGGCAGCCCCTGCAACATGCACTCTGTAGGGTCTGGCCTCCAGCTGTGCTAAAGTTGGACAGCCCTGTACAGGTTATTGGTCATTGTTTGAAAATTCAAATATTTTGACACTATTAGATTTACCAAGCTACACAATGCAACCCCAATGTACAAAATTCACTCAGGGTGTCCAGGTAGGGGGGGCTCTGACATGGCAGAAATGTGGAACTTGTTGAATACTTAGTGAGCAGTCTCTAACGTGCACCTGATTCAGACTGACGTGGAGGGGAGGGAATAGCCAGTGGGTCTAGACCACTGTACAATAATCTGGCAATGAACAACCATTCAGAGAGTGTGTAGGAGACAAGGCTATTATAACCAAGCTGCCATTTGCCCTGCCCATAAGATATGGAACAGATTCTGCTTGCCTCAAAACTCCTCATATGAAGCTTAGGCATCTAGGCTTAGTGTGGGAAAAGTGTGAGGGGAGATTGTATTCCTGCTTTTAAAACAGAGTAGCAATAGTAGGAAACATGAATTCAAATACATTATGTATTTGACCATATTCCAATTCAAAATCCATTGCTGGCACCTTGATCCAACTACAAAGCGAAACTGGCAGCATGCTAGGCTTTTATAACTGTTCTGTGCCTTTCACCTTAATGTATGCCTTTAACAATTGTTGTTAGAGTAGAAACGACTGATCTTTGTACTTTTCTCCTCACTGGCTGCTCACTTCCTGTTCAGCTGCATGTGGTGCTAACAACATGAGAGATGAAATCCCAGGGATGATGATAGACCACCTAAAACATATCTTATGGGTCTTTTTTCATCCCAAATCTTAGAAAATGGTTAGAATGATCTCCTTTGATTGATTCAGGTTGCTTCTACTCTTGAGCAGTACAGCAGCTCATACTCGATGCAAATGTATATATTCTCAGAGCTCATTTCCATCAATCAAAGTGCAGAAACCTGCTTCTTTGACTTGTCATATGGGGACAGTAATGATTTCCAACACATTCAGCTGCATTATTTTTCCTTTAAAGATCATTCTGTTGTAATATTGTTGAAAGCAGAACTTCTCTGGTTCAAATCTAATATCACTGTAGCATGTGACTTTCAACCTTCTCACCCTACATATTACACATCCGACTGCAATTTACAGGAACAACGTTAACTTTGCCTTGTCTTGTTTTGATTTATTAATCTCATTTTCAAGAGTGGATGTGTCTGCACAGGTCTTTGCCATATTATGTCATGGTAACAAGTTTTGCATTCACCTAACTGAAGATGGTTTATCTGACCCAAAATAAGAATTGTTCCATATGTAAGGAAGCTTAAATAAGCCAGCAAGTTGCTTACCCTCCTTGATCTACACTCAAAGCAAATAACACAGGGATTTTAATTACCATTTCTTTAGAACAAGTACCTTCTGCTTGCAAGCTAGCCGTGACAACGGTATGAATGACATTGAATGACCAACGCCCTGATTTTCCACCTGGAAGTAAAATTTCTATCTAGATAAAGTGCTTCTGTAAATGACAGAGTAAGACTGAACCAAATTGAGTACTACCACAACAGTGGCAATATTTATACAGTTTAAAAGACTTGGGAAGTCAGAGAAGTGGTAAAATGGAATAATTGCACCTATTTCTTGCAGTTAGTGCATATGCAAAGCAAACCTAACATAGCCTAAGGAGCAAAGCAGCCTCAGTTCTAGTGACTCTACTGAAATGGAGAGATTTATAGGAAAAGACTCTCATCTAGAAAGCAAATTAATTCCTTTAAATATGGAAATAAACCAAGTCCTAATCACATAAACCTCAAACATCAGCCTACCAGATCTAGTTTACTCTTAGATTGTACACTGACATCTTCTCAGCAGCCAAAAAAATGTACTGCACTAAAAGACATGCTTCCAAAACTAAAGGCAATCACATTTAAGACATATTACCTGGTTATGGCCAGGTAGTGTGATTACACTGATGTTGATAGTAAGAAAATGGGAATTGCCTCTTCACTTCTTTTGCAACCAGAAAAAAAAATCCCTGTTTCTTTCATAACTAGTATGATATCAGATATTATGTCCATGGTGTGAAAAAGAGCAGTCATGTATATGTGTGGTTTAGTTGGTTGTGACTGAGGTGGCTAATGAGATCCTAACTGAGGGAATACATGGGGCCATGCTTGGAAATGGCTTGAAATCCTTCAAAATACCCACTGCCCTAGAAGTCACATTTGTAGAATAAGTTTTTTAGCTAATTTATTCATCTGCAGCCTTGGAGACTTCAAAAGAGATCACATGCTAAAATGCTAGTACTGTATTGTGCAGGTGACCCACAGCTTTTTCTGTCCTTTGCCTCATCATCCAGGTAACTATTCAACTTAAATCAGTATTTTGATATACAAAGAGACAAACCTTATGCACAGAGCAGCACCTAGAATTAGTGTAGTGTGAACATGAACCTGACAGCAAGTTTCTGATACAAATGGTGTGATGTGAGATCAGCTGTGTGGTTTCCAAATAGCTGTATTTGCTCCCCATTGCAGTCATCATTCAGCAAAAGGGGAAAGGAAAGTATCACAATTAGACAAGTCCTGGGTATTTTAGGAAAGCTAAATCTCTGAAGAAAAGATTAATAAGAAACTCTTATTTGGTACATCTGCACTTTCCCAGGGCATTAGGATTTGTCTAGCTCAGGATGGCTCAACCTCCAGTCCACGAGTCAAATGTGGCCAGCAGAGCCATCACATTGTGCCCATGGATCTCCCCATGGGTTAGGAAGTTTGGTGGCAGGGGAGTGGTAACCATTAATACAGCCACCTTCACCTCTGCCAAAATCCCAAACTCCAATCCCCATGTGCCCAGTTGGAGCCTGACTATGCGCCATTCCGCTGTGGGGCCAGGTCATCACCCCCAACCCCTTTGCTTCTGGATTAGAGCTGGGCCATACCCCTTCCCCATCCAGGTGCCAGGTTAGGGCAAAGCTATGTCCCTTTCCACCCATGGGGCCAGGCTGGGGCCAAGCTATGCCTCCTTACCCCGCAGGGCCGAGTTGAAGCCAGGCCATGCCCCTCCCCACCACTGGGCCAGGTCATTCCCCCACTCACAGCACTGGGTTAAGAAATTAAGCATAACTATTCAGGAGAAAAAAGGTGCAAAAGTATGCCCCCTATGATGCTTATTTAATCAACTTTTTCATAATTAAAATACTGTAAGGGGATATCTAACAATGGGTTTGGAAATGCTAATGATCAATAAGAGAATGTAGGAAGGGTGACAGCCCAGTGACTCTCCCCTGAAGTGGTGGGTAAGAGCCTCTGCTGCTCTACCGGTGAAACTGATTTGTTTGTCTACATGTAGGAGGTTTTAGGGGCTTGCATGTTCTGCCTCCAATAAAGATTTGAATAACAAATCTCTGGGCAAGGCTCTGTTTTCTTGCCATTGCTGAGGGTGGGGGTTCTCATGTAATAATTCTTAATTGTTTTTTAATTCTTGATTCTGCCTCAGACCTGTCAGGCACTCTTTTTAATAGAACTGATCAGAAAGCATTTTTTTTTTCTTATGGACAATTTGGGGATCAAAGAAACCATTTTCCAGTGGGGAAATAGTTTGGATAAAAAATGTTGGCAGCTTTACTTTTGATTAATTTCTTAATTAATGGTGCAGAATTAGACAGGACTACACATTCACCTCTCCCAGCATACAAAGCAGTCAGATTGTTTGTTCAGCAGCAGTTTCAAAAGGTTTTACTCCTGACATTTCAAACCCATTTTAGAGGGTCCTTTTAAAATAATCATGCAGCTTTTCTATTCACTGGCATGATTGCAAAATAAATGGAAAAGAATACCAAATCACAATGGCAGCTAGTGTAACACGCATTACATAGCTACACAAGCTAAGTACAGGCAGTCAAAAAGCCTGAAGCTGAATTAATTCAATCTTTACAGGTTAGTCTAAGCTGCATAAGCAAGTGAGCAGACATTTACTTTGATTCTGGAAATGCAGCCATATGCCTGCAGGGGCTCAGAACAGAAGCTGAGGGGTGCTAGAGCATGCCTCTCTGCTTGGCTGAGCAGACGGCCTGGGCCAAGCCTAGCCTGCCCACCCTCTGAGGAAAGGTTTGTGGGGGAGGTGCAAAGTATGCTGGGATACTGGGGGACTGTGAATTAACTTGAATCTGGAAGGCACCTGCGACAGAAGTTCAATAAATCAATTTAACTTAAATCAATTAAGTCTGATACTGCATCCATCCAGGTTTATCTGAAACCTGTTTCGGCCATTCTGAAAGTGCTTTATGTGCACTTAACTTTTGTTATGTTACAGATGTGAACTGGTTTCTGATTATTTATACCAGTTTGTGTGTAATGTCTGTCCCTATCTACAAAGTGCAAGAAAGCCACAGAAAAGGCTCTGTGTATCCTAGATTTGTACTAAGGTTCTGTAAGAGAGTACAGAAGACATTTTAAAAATATTTAGAAAGAAAACAATAAGACGCAAACTTTAGGCATTTTATAATGTATCTAGAATGATTAAACTCACAGCAGTAAAATGAGGTCCAAATGAGATACAGAGTTTTTCCCTCCCTAATACTTTATAATTTTGGTATCACAGCAAAGATAATAGCTTTTCTGGGAGGAGGAAGTGTGGGAATCAAATGACTAAAGGATACTTATTAACAATCAATTTAATTTTAAGGTCTAATCATTTAGGCAATATCCCTTTAAGTACAGAAGAACATTTGAAAAAAAAAAAAGCACTTGGCTTTCAGATCATGCATGTTATCAAGTTTTATTCTAGCTTTGGGAAAAGTCCCTGTACGTAGGAATGCCAATTATCAAAATAGCTCATATTTTCTATTTACAGATTCTTTTTTTTCCCTAAAGAGCTCAAGAACTTCCCCTGCTCCATTCTTTTGAGTGCACAGGGTCTACAGGGTCACAGTCTCTGCATGATTTAAATAGACCTATTTAAAGGGTAATCTCATTTCAAGGAGATTTTGATATGTTGCGATTTGGTTTCATTCCAAATTGAAATGAAATCCAAAAATGTCAGCATTCCCTGAGAAAGGGAAAGCCTTTGTGTCCAACTCTCACAGTTTTCCTGGCTTGTCTCCACTGCTGCTATACACCTTGGAAGCTTTGATGGTCCTGAATTGGGAGCAAACTACCAAGGTAACTGGACCAGACCTATGGAACATGGAAAGCCTGAGGACTCAGGCTACTGAGGAGATGGTAGCTTGGAAGCCAGAGCTTACATTATCCCTATCAGGCAGGCTCCTGAAAAGCTGGGCACCTGGAAACCTGTGCTTCAGAGGAACCAGGCAGCAAACTTACCTTAAAACAAGAGAGGTTTCCATTAGACCTCTGCCTGCTATATCAGAACCATCCCTTCTAAAAGTGTAGAATTTGATAAATCAGCATTTTCTGATAGACAAGCTTTCTGCTGGAAAGTTTCTAACCAGCATTGAATGCTTCCAACTAAGAATAAATGTGACCTGATGTGATAACAGAAACTAATTCACCATGGCACCAATGCCTTGCATTGTAGTAGCTAGGCTCACAGCTACCTCTGGACTCCCACTACAGAAGTCACTAGAGACTTTATATAGCTGGAGAGTAGAGATTCTATTAGTCAGGTTCTGATTTAATTTACACCATCCTGATACTGGTTCAACTCCATCAAATAATTCCAGGTTCATACCAGTGTAACAAAGTGCAAAATCAGGCCCTGGAGATCTGCCAACAGGTATGTTGTAGCAGAGAAGCCACTAAGCATGTTTCTACATAAGGACTCACATAGCATTCCTCATCCTGGGAGGAAAAGTTTGGTTTGATTTTTTATTTAGCCATTGCTAAGGGTTACATAACTTCACTAACCTCCTGTTCATTCCCATTCAAATATGTATTGCATCAATACTGATATATTTTACTCACTTATTGCCAGAATCAATTCTCGTCTCTGTGCAAATCCAATGAGACGCTCTGAGTCTTTTGAAACCACCACTGGAAAGCCATTGTAATCAGTCTCTTTGATTAATGTCTCCACATCCTCCACTGTCATGCTATCCTGTGTCAAAACAGAGAGGGCAGGCTCACCACGCCGAGGCCTCATGACATCTGTTGCCAGTGTTCGGTGTGTGAACTCATCCTTAACATCCAGAAATGGGTAACCATTCAGGTGGATATGTGCCTCATAGATCCCTTCCTTTCCAAACGCATCTGCTACCCACTTGCTGGTTACAGCGGCAGCCATTAGAGGAACAATGTATTCCAGACCTCCAGTTAACTCAAACATAATCACCACCAGGGAGACAGTCATTCTTGTAACTCCACCTGCCAAAAGAAAGATCATTCAGGCTCCCCCTCAAAAATAAGTCACATTTTTGGTGTTTTAGTCTCTTGTATTCATAAGGGTATAAAATGATCCAACCCCTTCCCTTTACACTGTAAGCAATGGTGTCTTTTTCACTTGCTGTAATTTCATCTGCTGGAATTTTGATTAGAAACTGTTTCCAATAGGTATGCTCAGCCCAAACTTTCTTAGTATTTGAAAGGCAGGTAATAAATACTTGGAGATCATTTGAATTAAATAGTCTAACACACCATCAGAGCATGCAAGCCTAAACTCCTAACTCATACAAGCGTAACTAGAAGAAGACCAGAGGGAACCCAGCCTTAGGTTCTAACTTAGAGGGGTAAACAGAATGATGCCAACCCCTCATTTTGGCTGCGGCATAAACAGCCCTTCATCGCCCAGTTAGAGCAACTAGACTGGAGCAGCCTGTATTACCTGACCAAAAAGCCAGGCTCAAACAGCCTGCACTGCCTGGCTATAAGAGTCAGGCAGATTCATAGATTGTAAGGGGATGGAAGGAACCTTGCAAGATCGTCGGGCCCAGCACCCCTGCACTAGGCAGGAAAGACAGCTGAGGTCAGGTGACCCCAGCAAGGTGACTGTCCAGTCTCCTCTTGAAGATTTTCAGGGTAGGCGATTGCACTACCTCTGGAAGGAGCTTATTCCACAGTCTGGACATCCTGTGTGAAGAAATTTTTCCTAGTGTTAAGCCTGAAATGGTCTTCTAAGAGTCTGTGACCATTACTCCTGGTTTTCCTCAAGGGTGCCTTTGTGAACACTTGTTCGCTGAGCCCTTGATGTGACTCCCCTGATGTAGCAGTAAGCTGCTACCAACCCCTCTCAGCCTTCTCTATTTTAGGCTGAAGAGTCCCAAGTCCCTCAGCCTTTCCTCATATGGCTTGCCTTGCAAGTCTCTGATCATATGGGTGGCTCTTCTCTGGACTCTCTTGAGCTTTTCCACATCCTTGTTGAAGTGCGGTGCCCAGAACTGGATGCAGTACTCCAGCTGTGGTCTCACCAATGCTGAATAAAGTTGAAGAATCACTTCCTTGGTTTTGCTTGAGATGCATCGGTAGATACATGCCAGAGTATTTTTTGCCCTGCTGGCTACAGCATTGCACTGATGGCTCGTATTTATACTATGGTCTATTATTACCGCTTGGTTCCTTTCAGTCATGGTGATAGTCCGTTTGGCACCACCGAGCCTGTAAGTATCTTGGGGATTTTTCGTCCCCAGATGGAGCACTTTACACTTCTCAATGTTGAACTTCATCTGGTTCCAATCTGCCCAACTTGCCAGCTTGTCTAGGTCCACCTGTATCTGCAGCCTATCTTCAAGCATGACCAAGCATGATAATTTGGTATCATCCACAAACTTGATACAGCCCTGCACCACATGGCCAAGAAGCTGGGCAAATAAAACCTGAACCACCTAGCTGGAGGAGCCAGGTACAGGAACCTGGGGCGGATAAGACAGCCCTCCCTATCCCCACCGCTTCGGGGGCAAGGAATTTTTTCCCAGGGTGCAAAAGTAATTAATTATATTTCTGATACAAAAGGTTCCACACATAAACTACTTATCCTTTCTTTTTTTTCTAAACTATTAGATAACAGGCAAACACAAATGCTATTTATTTCATTATTGACTTTTTCACTAATGTACAATGGTCAACAGGCACGTTTACTAATTTGAAAATAAAATGTTTAAAATGAATATCAAGCAAATGGAAAACTCAAACAAATTATGTTAATGTAGTTGAAGTGCATTATGATAATGTAGTTCTTTCCTTGTATGGCCTATGTAACCTGGCTGTCATCATGTAAGTGGCTTCCACAAAACACATTTGTGAAGCTTTGTGTAACTTAGCTATGAATCCCTGTATAAGAAAATCAGTCCTACTTATGCCATCTTTCATTCTAGTCTCTTTGGCTTCCTATGCATGTGCTCCAATGCATTCTAATTAGAATGTGTCAGAGCTAGAACTCTGCAACATTGCCACAGCATCACGTATATGTTTAAAAATGGCTATAGGACACTACCTAAACCTCATCAAAAGAAATTTAGATAAAACATCCTGTGGCCATTTTTAAATGCACTGGGGCTCAATACATGTGACACAGTGGCATTTCAATTAGAGTGACTGCCTGGAAACCACTCTAATTAAAATGCCCCTCCCCCCACCCCCAACACACACAAACACCTCCAAGCACGTTTAGGCAGTTTTTGTGGTCATTTTATAAGCAATTTGCTTCCTGTTTCAATTTATGATATAAAATAAAAATAATTTTGTAACCACAGTTTATTAACAACTGTGTAGGTTTCTCTGTATTGTTAAGTGATGTTGCTGCATCAGCTCAAAAGATAATTGTAAGGATTTGCTACTTTAAGCCTCAAAATACTTCACCATTTTAAGGACGAAAAAATATATCATTAAAAGCTGCTTTTTATATATTGGTACAGATACGGCAATGTAGCTATAGGGCGCTGACAGACGGGCAGCTCCCCATTATAACTCATAGCACTTCACAGAAAGTCCCATGAGTTACAGCAACACCCTCACTCCAACCCAAAAGACATTCGCTCCACTTTGGAGTCATCCAGCAGAGAGTGGCTACATGTCTGCAGCCTCTCTTCCTTCACCCTGCCCCTCCCATCCCAGCTCGGGACCTGTCTTCAGGGTGGGAGAGGAGAGAAGGCAGGCACATGAGGTGGGGGTGAATTGAAGCCCCCCCCCCCACCCAACCACCACCAAGTGCAGGCTGGGCAAACCCCAGACTGGAGCTTCCTTCCCTGCTTTCTCCCCACTCCTATCCTGAAGATAGCACCACGGGAGGGGCTGGGATGATGCAGTCCAGCCCTGCTTGCATGCAGGGGAAAACAGAAGTTAATGACAGTGCTCTGCTTTGGAACACCTTCATCTGAACACTTACTAAATGTGGCTTAATTTGTTATGCAATCAGACACTTTTAAAGTGCTCTGCAGCCATGCACTTCTGTCAGGGCATGGCTGTAGAACACTTTCAGGGGGCCAATCATGCAACAAATATCACTTCTGTCAGCACCCATAGTTGTTACCTGGTAGTTGGTGGCATTATAAAAAAAGAAAATGACTGCTTGCTAACGGATGAACAAGTAAAGAATTTTTGATTGCTGATACTGAAGAAAAATGTTTCCACTCTAAAATTAAATCTACATATGCTTATTGACCAGTTCTGACATTAACATCCTGTGTTCCTGATGTCACATATTATCTTAATTGACTATAGGAAACTGAAACTGTAATTTTCAAGCTAGTGCTCTGAGCTCAGTTTTCATTTCATTGCATTAATCCTAATTCATACATCTTCCTGTCACAAGTCTAAATATCAAATAGAAGTAGAATTTGTAGGAGATACAGGACATGAAAGACTTGAAAAGAAAAATAATGTGATCAGGGTTGATGTTTGCACATTTCCATCAAAGTGAGCAATGTTTCTGGGATGGATTCAAATTCTATTTTTATTATGACCTTTTCCCTGAGATGTTAAAATTAGGATTCTTTTTGGCCAGTTTATTAGAAAGTACTAAGTGTGAATAGGCATGGACAACTAACTACCTTCTCTCTTGTAGAACATCTGTTAAAGTATTTTCATATACCCGGTCATGTGATTTTTTTCCCCTAGGATTGTCAGCACAGAACTTACCAAGAGCATGAAATTCTATTAACAATTTTAAAAAGCTAACAATATGTCTGGATGTCAGCTTTTTTATTGCACAAAACAAAGCCTACCGCATACTATACCTAGGCATGCCGCAGCTCCCACCATAGCATAAAGTCCTGGAGTGACACAATCTGCTCCTGGCCGACACCAATTCCTGAAGATGATCCAGTCATGATGGTGATAGGCCACCTGCTCCACTCCAATTCCAACCATTCTTCCAGCCATAGCTCCTACCGCCATACTAGGAATGAAAAGGCCTGAAGGGATCTAGAATGAAATACAGTAAAAAAATTGACAAAAATGTCTCAGCTGTGTACTAGGGTTCCTTGTTGGAGAAGTACTATACACAATTTTCTCAAGCCATGTTGCCATTGGTCTGAGCTAGCCCTCAATAAAAACTACTAAACCTTTTTTTCCCCTAAGTTTTGCTTTTTTGAATGAAATTATAAAGAAATAAAATACATAAAAAGGCATGTACTGATAAAATATTACAGATAAGCTTTTGTTTTTTTTCAAAATGCTGCCCATGTTTGTAGCTTCATAAACTTTTAATTGTATTAAACAGTAAACTCAAAGTTATAATTCTCCTAACAAGTGTAACTTAACTATACTGTATTATTTCAAAACCTGAATTTAATAGCATAGACATAAAAACAAGATGCCAATTATTTCTAAGTGAACTGAGGTACAGTGGCAACAGAGATCTCATTTATAAAGCTGCATGAGGAAAACTGAAAGTTACAATCTGAATTTTGCAACATGAATTAACCATATTTTTTTTCAGTGAAGAAATCAAACAAATCTACAAGATGCACCAAAGAGCCTATCTTCGTAACATTAGCATTGTAACCAATGCAAGTTTATGAGGGTTTTAGGAACATCTTGTGTTTCAAAATTAGCGCATTCTCATGGACATCACTGGCCTCATTCCAGGTATCTATAACCTCCATGGGAGAGACTGTAGGCTCTAAGCTAAAGTTCAAATTTGACACTAAATATGGATTGCAACAATGAACTTTATATCAGTCTTTAGTTTACCTTCATGCCAAAAGTAAATATTGTGATGATGATTTTAAAAATCAGAGCCAGGGCCAGCTGCCACATTGCAGTGTAGACTCCAGGACCTGCAGGTCTGTCAGGAATGTCATCTACAGGTCTGGTCATATTTGGGTCATTGATATAATCACAGAGTTGTGAGGACTCCAGAGCACCACAGTCATTGAAAAGCTCAGAGATCAGCTCACTGGTACTTCTCCTGGTGTACGGATTAGGATAGGCGATGATGGCAGTGATGGCAGTTACCACAATGACCTCTAGCACTGGATACTTCCCAAGTCTGGTGGTCTTGCGCCTCCTGCACCAGGCAATGTTGCAACGGATAAAAAGTGTCCCCCACAGCCCTCCAAAGACTCCAAGAAGAATGAATGGGAAAAGTTCAGCCATATACCAGGGGGTATGGTACTCCACATAAAAAAGGACCAGTCGACTGTTTCCAAATGGATTGATGGACCTCAGTGTAAAGGCAGCCACAAGAGCAGCGAAAAATGACCTCCAGAGGGTTTTCAGGGGAAAGTAATAGCTAACCTAAAACAAACAGAAACAGTAAATACTTAACTTAGTGGGACTTAAAATGTTTGCTTTATTACCCACTTTTATGGTGCACTGTAGGCAACCATAGTTTGTTTAGCCTGTAATGATACACTTGACGTTAATGGGGCTCCATAAGTGTGTCTCCAAAAAGAATGTGGTCATCCATGTGTAAGTCAAGGCATTTTCAAACTTCAGAAGGGGACTGTTAAAAGTGAAAAATGAACATAACTCTTTAAGCAAGCCATTGAACAATGCTGGTTTACCTGGATATGCTGGAGTTCTAATTGTTACACATGAAACAGCATGGTTTTGCAGTCTTTGTTTACAAATTTCAAGGAACACAGCTTTTTGCTTTGTGATTATACTCTGAACACACACACACACACACACACACACACACTTGTTTGGTTGACTCCGGAAGACTCCTCTTCTTCCAGAACACTGGTAAGAAGAAATACCAAATTATTTCTAGTAACAATTAAAGATTTCCTGTGTTTCAGTAAATACTAAAATAAAAAATATTGAGAAAATTTTAAAAGGAAGTCAATGAAAGGGGTTTTTCCTGTTGATGAAGAATATTGATAATGGATATTGTGATAACAGAACAGTTGCCTCTTACCTCTTCCAAACTAAAAAGGACACCGCCAATTGGAGCACCAAAGGCAACAGAAACTCCTGCAGCAGCTGCAGCTGAAAGCACCTACACAACACAAATATTTGTTAGACTAGGCATATGTCCTTTGAGGGGGAGAGTATATTTAAAGTGTAAAATGCCAATTTGAACCCATGCTTACCTCTCTCCTCTTTCCTTCATTCTTGCTGTACTTTGAGAAGAGGCTACTGAAGAAATTACCACAGCAACAAGCCACATGTACTAATGGACCTTCTTTTCCAAGGCTGAGGCCAGAAGACACCACCAGCACCAAGGTAACAGTTTTGATTAAGAGTGTCCACTTCCCCAGGTAGCCCCTAATAATGAAACCACTCAGGATGGTTTTTATCTGGAAGGCAGGAAGAATAAGTTGAAGAACTAAATACACTTCTTCAACTCTGATTTTGCAAAACTGATTTAAAAGCTGTAATGGTAAATCATTCATTGCTTCAAGCCAATGGGAGAATGAGCAAAAATTAAAGCGACTTTCCTGCAGGGATATCTAAGGCTATAGACATGTGCATGAAGAAGCAACAGCTTAAATGCATAGACAGGGGGCAACTCACACCACAACACCCGTGCACAAATGAGCAGGTTGTGAATTTAAAATAAAGAAAAACAAGCAAGTTGTGCACTGAAAGGCAGGCATTTGAAAGCATAAGAAAATAGCCCCTGCATCACTTTTCCATAACTTTTTACAGTTGAAGCAGCTTGACTTGCCACAACTCATTTGTGGATCCATAGCCAGTGTAGATGTTACCAGACACAACTTTACAAGCTAAGTATTGCTAGCAGATTGCTATACCCATGCAGGTGTCTCATGGATGTCAATAGGCATCTGCAATTCATGTGGACAGTTTATAGAGCTAGTATTAGTGAGATGCAACTGGGTGTTCCTTCCCTAACCAGCAATCAATCCTTTATTTCCAACCATCATCAAAATACAGAAATGCTATGAAACTGACTTACTAAAGTGTTATTTTTAAGATAAAATTCAGATTTGCCACAGGCAAAAAAGTGATTTGGAATTTATCCCTCAAAACCTGCCTAAAACCGTCTTGTATATGCACCCCCAGCCAACAGTCTTAGGGCATTTATACACGTACTTTTTTTCCAGCGACACGCTGGAAATCTGCTGCTTCAGAGCAGACTCAATTAATTCAGTCTGCTCAGCACACAAGCTGAGGCCAACTGCACTGCACTGCGTGCAGTTATATAAGTGATAAAATTCATGTCAGCACACAGAAAATGGCAGCGGTGCACTTTTTGAACTAAAGCATTTCTGAGATATTTTTGTTCAAAAGTGCACCACCGCCATTTTCTCAGCCTTGGCGCACATTTCATCACTTGTACAATTCTGTGTGTTGCAGCAGCGGGCACTTTTCAAAACACCCAGTGCTGTGATGCATACATATGTAAAAATGTCCTTAGCTTTTATTTATTTATTTTTCTATGTCACATTCCAGCAAGACAAAATGAGACCAATATAGAGGGCTGAATTGTCATCTGAAGAGGCACAGCTTTTCGTGGGTACTCTTTGGCTGGCTGCAATGAAAAAGAACTGACTGAGAAAGTTCAAGTGAAACCAGTTTTAAGCCAAGTCTATGCTGCATCCCTGTTCAGTCTCAGACTGCTGCTAAGAAACAGGGCCTACCCACTCAGCTCTGCTCTCACTCCAGAATGCAACTAGAGTAGTAGGTGCGGATCCACACCATTCTCAGGCTTTCAGTGTCATGCATCCAGAACTTGAGCTTTTTACCCCCTGACTTAACAGGTGAGTTTGGGTGTAGGTAGAGTGTCTGTGATCATCAGTAATCTCCAGGCCTATCAGGCAGGAGTACAGATGTAGCCTTAGAGTGCAGTGTAGGCTGTAAGCCGCTGGAAGCACAGTCTGTAATTTAAAATGTATTTATACAGTACACTTTATGACTTGGTTAGATGTCATAATATTAATAAAAAGAAAGGAATGATTAGATATATACTGGGCACATCTACACAAGATGCTTTACTTAAGATTAGAGCAAATTATTCTGCAGTAAGCGTCACCACCTACATGTCTAGATACTTACTACACAGTAATTTGTTTTAATCATGAGTAAACTTGCTACCTGTAAATACAAGTAGCAAATTTACTCACAGTTAGTTACTGCGCAGTACAGCATGTTGAGATGGCTGACTGAGAGCAAACTTGCTCCCGGTTGGCTGGGCAGAATGGGGTGGGAGATTGCTCCCTGACCCCAGGAGCTGCCTACTGCTGGGGCAGGCTCTGCCACTGGAGCCCAGGTGGGGACAGTGTTCCTCTGCCATGGCACCAGGGAGCTCCCAGGCCTGGCTCCCCAGTCACAGAGTGGGGGCTGGGAGCTTGTTCCTAGCCCCCGTTTCACAATCTTGATCATGGAGCTGAGGCTGGGAAAAGGCTGGGAGCTTGTTCCCAGCTCCTGCTCCATGATCATGGAGTGGGGGCTGGGAACAAGCTCCCAGCCCCTGCTCTGCTATCGCGATTGTGGAGCAGGGACTAGGAGCTCCCTGCATAGGGAGAGTTCCCTGCTAAGACTGGAGCTGACTGTGACCTGTCCCTGATCAAGACAGTTCCCAGCCAGCCCTAGGTTGCATGGGAAAGTCTGCATGTGCAGCCTGGAGGTGGCTGAGGACTGTCCCATTTCAGGTAATCCCCAGCCAACTCCAGGCTGCACTTGCAGACTTCCCTGCACAGCTCATGGCTGGCTGGCAACTGTCCCAGTAGGGGCATGTCATAGCCTCGTGCTCCAATTGGGTGATTGAGGTGTGGGGCTTAGAAAGAGCTGTGGGGAGGGGGCAGGTCCCAGCCCCATGCCCCGATCCACTGATGGGGCATCCAGCAGCAAGCCCCCAGGTGGGTGGGTAATCCCCGCCTAGTCGGGGGCTCACTGCTAGCTGCCCCACTGGAGGATCAGGGTAGAGAGCTAAGACCTGCCCCTCCCCTGCAGCTCCTTCCAAGCATCCTTCCCCCAGTTGCCAGGGCAGGGGGACATTATCCCTGCCTGGGCTCTGCTGATGGAGCCAGCCCCAGCAGCAGGCAGCTCCTGAGAGCAGGGAGCACTCTCCCAGCATCCACCAGAAGATGGTTGTCTCCTGGACCTGTGCTCCCTGCCAGCCCCTAGAGCTCTCCCTGGTTGCTGCAGGGGACCAGTGCAGGACCAGAGGGGATGGGAGCAGACTGCTGCCAGGAGCTGCAAATCTGCTCCTACATCCCCACACATGTAGACACCTGTCCAGGGTGGGTTTACTCTAAAGTAATTTACTCTAGAATATACCCACCCCACAGCATTTGCACATGTTGATGCACCCACTTTTTATAAATGATCTGTCTAAAAACTAAGGCTAAGATTTTCAAAGACTGAAACTTACATTTATACTCCTAAATCTTAAGTAGTATATAGATCTTATATAATGGTTTTTAGAAGCAAATGCCCTAATTTCCAAAAGTACTGAATAATTTTGCATTACCTCTTGATTAGAAGATCATACAACTATAGACTTGAATGGCCAACTTGAAACACTATATGGGGACCTGATTTTGAATGGTTGAGTGCTCAGTAAATGGAGCTTTAAGGCATCCCAAACACTGGACACACAAAAACTCCAAAAAGGTTGGTATTGTGGAGCCCCAACTTTTTATTTCTTTTATTCTTGGCTTCTAAAATGTTATCTATTTCCTTAAAATTGGACCAAGTAATTGCATCTGCTGGATTTCTAGGCACATGTTTGTGTAACTTTCTGAGAAGCATGTATAACAAGTCTCCCAATCTACAGAGGACTGGAGTCTCCTGCAACCCCCATCTGAGAACCTGGCCACTACTTCAGTCTGTACCATTTCAGAGATCGTTGTTTCACCCATCAGTTTTTAAACATACAACATCTAAAAGAAACTCACCTCTGGGATTCCAGAACCACAGGCATAAGGTGCGAACACCCTTACCAGGGAGACTGCCAGGAAAGCAAAACATAGAGCCCACATAATGTAGAGAAAATAGTTTAGGATGTAAGCACTTGCGCCCTAGAAAAATATAGTGAGAAACATTATTAGATAAACGTAACACAAATAAACCTCCTAGGTAGAATTCTATTTTACGTAGGAGATGACCAAAGCATAACTTGGGACCAGCTCTGAATTAAATTGCTATAGTATACGAGTGATTCTCTTATCTGCTCTTGGCATATATATGCCCCCATTATAGGAATAGACAGACATCTGCTTCTATAATAGGGCCATTTATGTGTCTGAAGTAGGTAATAGTATCACTCCTGCACTATAGTCAGGTAACTCAGAGTTGGTCCCAACCTACACTTTGGTTTTCTACTAGGTGAAATAAAATTCTGTCCTATACTTCTACTAGGAATAGCCAGAGAAATGGAGCCACTTCTGCTCACTGACTGCAATACTAGTAGTATGTTTGATACTGGTTTGGCTTCAGTAAACATGAACATTTCTATTGTATGTGTTCCAACCATTCTACTATATATGAAAAGATAGACTGCTTTGGCCCTTAATGTATTTAAATAACGTTATCTTTTATAAGGAACTCAACTACTGCACAAAAACTGTTATAAAACAAACACTAAAGGGTAGAGGGAGGACAGAGAGAAGATAACCACACACATAATCCAAACCATATCAAAGTAATCTATCACAAAGGCACACCAAATTACCATAAGAAAAATATACCTTCAAAATGGATTTGCAGTGTACTTTAAAGCCAAGCAGCAAGAGACTCTGAAGGCATGTCTGGGAAACTATTGAGATTATCAAAGCTGTATAGGGGATGTGGCAGTACATTCTGCTCATTTAAATGTTAGACCATTACTAAAAACAGATTAATCCCAACTATTTGTACTTGTCAGGCAGGAAGAGATCATAAGAAGTGATCAGTCAAGTTCTGAGGGTTTAGATTACAAAGGGGCTTTTCATACTAATTTTGCTACTTAAATTATATCCTTTGGTGTATTAATATCCAGTTCAGTTTGCAGAGGACATGCATAATTGAATCCTTCACTCTATCTGATAGAAAAATACATAAATTTCTCATTCTGCAATTGTTGCAGCCTCTACAGGAATTTTGGAAGGAGTCTGGTTGAGAACCCTTTAGAATTATTCACTTTGATTTCCTGAAAGCAGAAGTGATCTTGGTGAGGTGTATGAATATGAATATAGAGATGGATTTTCCTGATAGCAGAGAGTTGGTGACCCCTGTTATAATACTGGCTTCCATTATGAGAAAGGAGTCAAGGGTGACCAGTGACCCTATACTGCCAGTGAAGCGATATTCCCTGGCTAATGAACTTTCAAAACTACTAAAGTTTTCCTTGAAACATTTCTCCCTATTTTTAAACCTGACCATAATCTTTTGCTCCTGAAACAAGCAGAGCTACTTGAGAGCCATACTACCCTGTCCATTGGTCCATTTGTACTGACTCTCATAGTCACTCACACCTCATGGTGAATGTTATCAGTGGCTTCTTAATTAATAAGGATTTCTTTCCTTTACATGAGTAAGAGGAGACTGCCAAATGGAACCAAATGTATTTAGACTATGGAGACAATGTTGGCTATAGAGAATACTGACGGTACATAGCCTCTATGTACTGGCAGTATTCACCTCAGAATAATGCTACATCTAATAAGAAACTGCTTGTTCTGTCACCCAGGTATAACACTGACACCTGCAGAAAAACATATAGAAGGGGTTTTTAAGCATTACAAGTTTCAGGGGTTACTGGGTTCATGATCCTGGCACCATATTTAAAACACCCTTAAACACCTACCATACTATATGATGTAAAATACATGTTGCATCTAATGTGGATGGTGGTAACAGGTAATTATATTTACAATGAAGTAGTGAAACAAGGGTGGGGCACCAACTCTGGATACCAGTTTAGAGGAGATGGCCATGCAGTGGCAACAGCAGCCAGGGTGTGAAATTGTTAGCTATGCCTCTGTTAAAATATATTATGCAGAAACACTTTTAAGCCAGTCTCAGATAATGTTAAATTAAAGACCTATTGAGCTAAAAATGATCCTTGTGTCCTAGGTCTTTATTATTTGAAAGCAGAATAGACTTTGATGAGACCCTGAGACTCAGAGCTACCATCCAAAAGATAAAGGAATTGGGACTGAAAACTGTCAAATGTTATTGCTGAGCACACAATATCTATCCATATAAGAAGAACCTTGGGATAAAGAAAGCTGTCAGGTCTCAGAGATGAAGAGCTGGTTTATATCAAGAGAGAAGCAATGATAAAGAGAAATTCTGAATAAACACCAGGGCAGGGAACAGACAGTCAAAAAGCCTGAGCCTGAATTGATTCAGTCTTTGCAGGTTAGTCTAATCTAACTAGCCTAAACCTAGTAGTTTGTAACTGCACAGACATCCCAGACATGCAGGCATATGCTTGCAGTGGCTCGGACTAGAAGCTGAGGGGTGCTAGAACAGCCCACTCATCTCTTCCACAGGGCTGAGCTGAGGGGGGCGTGGCCAGACCCCAGCAGGATGCTCTGATTAGCCCAGCAGGGAATTGATAACAGTGTTTATCACCCCCTAACTCAGTGTTATCACCCCATTAAGAAAACAACAGAGGGACATTACCAGCTATCTGTTGATTCTGCCTCTTGATTCAGCACAGACCATAGCCAGCATGTGCTCTGATAGCTAATATATAGACACCTCCTCAGCAAGCCAGAGGGGAGTGGGGGGGGAATTCCTGCTTGGCAGGGAGTGGTGAGGGGGAGAGGGGGAGCACCCTGTAAGTCTCTGCCTGAGCTGCAGCCAGGGAGCAGAGGGGAGGGACCAGCCCTGCTTGAAGCAGAGAGCTCTACCCAGCCCAGAGAGCATACTGGGATGCTGGGAGTGTCTGGTTTATCTTAAACCAGCAAGGCATCTGGAACAGACGTTGCATAAACTGGTTTGAGCCAAATCAGTTAGTTCTCATACTACATTCAATCAGGTTTATCTCAAACCATTTTCAGTCAAACTGGTTTATGTGCCTTGAACACCTGTTGTGTTACAGGTTTAAATCAGTTTCTGATCACTTAAACCGGTTTATGTGTAATGTCTGTCCCTAGCCCAGAAGGTCAGAGCAACTATTGTTGATTTCACAGAAGTTTGAAAACTCTACTAAAGAAAGCCAGATAACCTGAAAGCGTGGTAATGTTTCAAGAATTACAAGGAGCTGCTTTGACTATCTGTTGGCTTCATGAAATTTAGTGCTTTATATGTGCCTTCTGCAGCTAATTTATGTAATATCTTTAACTGGAGAAAACACAGGACCTAGGTGTACCTCTCACTTCTGTCCTGGCTTCAATAAATAGACATTCTTTATACTGAAGAGGTTATGGATGGGAGGTCAGTGCATGTAGATTTGTATTTCTTTATAAACTTTTCACAAACAGTACAAGAACTCTGACCTGAAACTGTATTTAGTTACTCTATAAGGTTCAAATAAACTTATGACTACCTCAAACTGCAAGGCATTGAAAGGGAAAGGCAAGGAGAGGCAGTTGCTATGGGTGATACATTGCTTTTTTCTGCAGTAGAGGATGAAAATCGTGACACAGTGTTCCATGTGTGACAACCAAGGAAGTATGTCTTAACCATTCCCACGCTCTTCTAATTCCCAGTGCTGACAAACCCATTTTCCAACCTTCTGAAAGGGTAAAGCAAGCCTGGCTCCCTGCTTGCCAAGTAGGTAATGACAGGCTTTTAACAACATTTACTAGCTCCAACATCACTCCCCAGGCTTCTATCCAAATAAAGAGTAGAGAATGCTGCACCAACATTGCGCTACTTGTCTTGAAGAATGTATTTGGCGGAGGGAAAATTCACTGATTTCCCCTTGTGCCCTCAAATGTCAGCAACTGGTCTTGCTGATAACAGCAGAGAAGCAGCCTGATATCAGCCCCCATGACCCAAAGACTAAGAAGTCACGGATTCCATAATTACCATGACTGACACCCATCCATATTCATAATGGATCTTTGTTGCTACAGCTGAAGTGTATTTGTTTCATTTCCTCATGAATGTCTTCTAGTGCTTTCAATTAGAGACAGCTATGGCAATATTCACTACTCCCCTAGAGGATAGTCTGAATTTGCTGCCCTAGGGCCAGATTCTTCTCTCGGTATGAATCTGGATTAGCTCCAAAGACCACAATTACTAGCAAAACCAATGAGAATCTGGCCATAAAACTTCAGGTTTAAAGCTGTGATTTTGCTTCTTAATTCAATAGACAGAGTATAATAAAGTCATTTCTTTGTATATCTTCCTTGTCAAGATGCAGACTGAAAATGCTGTCATTATTTGCTACGTTACACAAAAACTTCACTCTCACTGGTTGGAATCAGTGATGAAATTAAAGTTTTGGAAATTTTCCATGAATTAGAGACATAAGTTGTTTCCTAAACATGATATATTCCACAAGATGCTGGTAGCATACTGAAGCTGACATTCTGAAAAGATTATCTCAGTGATACTGAACCAGGATGCCATGGCACCCTGAGGTGCTTTGAGATGCTTTTGTGATGCTGCAGGATGCCACACAATGCTAGTACTCAGAGATTTCAAATAGGAAACCATAGTGTTAAAAATGTTTTGATGTATTATGGTCTTTCTGAATTCTCTGAAACAAGAATTGCTCTATTATTTTTCTGTATGCAAAAAATGAGTGAAAATTAAGAGTTGGCATTTTTTCGAGGGTGCCTACAGTCTAATGAAGGGTGTCTTGAGTCTAATGAAATTGAGAACTATTGCACTAGATGAACTCTGTTTAGAGTGGAGATACCTTCATCTAGGTACTAGTGCAGGTTCCCAAAGGGCTTTCAGGAATGCAAATCTCCATGCCAGATAGCTGAAGGCTGAACTTCAGTCAGAACAAAGACTCACAAGTCTTTCAAATTCCCAGCTCCCTGACCACAGGCAAGCCAGACCCTCCAGCCAGGGGGCAGTCTGCATGGCAGGGCAGGGCAGGGCATTGGAATCCCAGGGTGTTCAGCATCCTGGCAGAAAACGAAGCTTTTTCCTACGTGAAACCTGCATGTGATTAGATAAAAAATTCCTGGAGCTAGAGATGCTTTGGGGGGAAATTTCAGGTCTAACAAACGGACATTTTCTGATGAAACTCTCATGCATCAGAAAATTCCCACCAGGCTCAAGGAAGCAGTGTACAGCTAAAGGTACAATCAATATAGTTGGCCTCCCTACAGGGAGTAGGAAAGAAATCATAATATGGTGTATGCCTGGCTGGCGCTCATGTTTTCACATATCATTTAAATCAAGAATCTGCTTTTGGAGGAGTTTTATAGAAAGATGATAATTAAAACACCGTTGATGGATTTCATAAGCTGTATCCAGATTCTCATGGCCAACTTACTTAAGCTTAAAGCAGCCATAATGCTGTCAGCAGGGTCCATCTAGCTTCTATAGTTATTGTTGTTGAGTTTCTGTTGTTATAAAAGACACAAACATCCTGGAGGATATTCTCTGTTTACATTTTCTCCCACTGTACTTGGCCTTGGTGAGGCCGCAACTGGGGTACTGCATCCAATTCTGAGCTCCAGAAGGATGTGGAGAAGCTTGAGAGAGTCTCGAGGAGGGCTATGCGCATGACCAGAAGGCAAATAGGCCTTATAAAGGGAGGCTGAGTGCCATGGGACTCTTCAGCCTGGAAAAGCATAGGTTATGGGGTGACCTGGTGGCTTCCTATAAGTACATAAGGGGTGCACATCAGGATCTGGGGGAACACCTGTTCACCAGAGCACCCCAAGGGATGACAAGGTCCAATGGTCACAAACTCCTCCAAGACCATTTTAAGCTGGGCATTAGAAAAAACCTCTTTACTGTCCGAGTCCCCAAGGACTGGAATAGACTCCCTCCAAAGGTGTGCAGGCACCTACTCTGGACTCCTTTAAGAAGTGTTTGGATGCTTATCTTGCTGGGATCCTTTGACCCCAGCTGACTTCCTGCTCTTGGGAAAGGGGACTGGACTCGATGATCTTCTGAGGTCCCTTCCAGCCCAAATGTCTATGAAATCTATGAAAATTTCAGGCTAAGAATGTTCCAGGGACTTGCCGATGGTCCCCCCATACAGCACCTAAAATAATAAAACTTCTTTCATCTCTTCTGCCTTCCTACCTCTTGTCCAGCTGTGCAGTTTCTAATAAATTTCAACTTCTCTACAGCTTGGCCATTGTTACTGGGACAACGTTTGCTTTGATTGTTACAAAGAAACAACTATCAATTTAGGACCTCTGTCACGGCACTTGAACTTGACACGGTTCCAAGTGCCACATACAGTAAAGCTTAGCATTGCGCATCTTCAGCTGTACACTGGAAGTTCCTGCTTGGCATCCACAGGATAAACTTTCAGAAATACTGAGCAGCTCACAGTTCCTGTTGTTGTCAGTCACAGCTGGTCCAGCTTGGCATATCTGGAAAACTGGGCCATAAACATCTACAAATAATGTAATCCAGCATCAACAGCTTTGAAGTTAATGTGAAGAATTATTAAACTACTTCTGTATAGTAATGAAGTGGCTCTTGGAGACTCCAGAGTGCCAGAACTCTACTGCTAAACTGAAGGAAGAGCTGGGTGAGGTCTCGCCAACTGATCAGTAACAATCCCTTCTCTGAACCCTGATTCACCATGTAAAACACAGATGACTAAGCCCTGTAGCCCATAAAAGTGCCTCAACCCCATGCTACTCCCAATACCACCACCACTTGTTTTTTTCTATTTTGAAAGGATCAAATATTACCAAATGTTAGATATTTTTAAAACAAATTGCTGGTGGAAAATAATCCCACTATTTTAGTCAATCCAGTTTCTCTCCATATATATCATTCTTACTCCATAATTAAATTGTGACTAATAACACTAGGCAAAAATTTTTGACAAATAGTAAATTTGCCAAGAGAATGTGGCTTTGGCAAGACCCAGGTTATGCACAAATTTGGAACAAAGTTGGCACAGAGGACTAAATTAAAGGAATCATTTCATTTTGAGTCAAGCAAAAAGTCTTCGGTTGAACAAAAATGCATTTTTTTTTAAATTTATTTCATTGAAAAATTCCATTTTTTCCAAGTTGAATGCTGGACTATGTCCAGGATGCTAATCAGTAACTGAATCCTGGATTGTCATAAGAAAGTGATTTTTCAAAGCCGAAAAAGCATTTTGTATCCAGCTCCAACTTATTCTTTCGTGCCCTTTTCATAGCTCTGAGGATTCCCCTCTCATGTAATTTCCAGAAACGTGCTATATTTTATTCCAGAAAAATGCTTTTAAAAGGGAAAGTTTGGTTGCCAAGTGGAGTCGCCTGCTTTCTTGGTCATGGATTGCTTTTTTAGTAAGTATACAGAAGACAGACATTTCCATTCCTGCGGCCCTCCCTTCTGCCATGCATGCATCACTGAGACATGGTTCTTAGCCAGGCTAACCAGCAAACGTTTGTGGGAATGCCTTTTTAACATATTGGCAGCTCATTACTGTCTGAATTGGAAGAATCGCTTGGAGAGATTGTCAGAACAAAGAAAAAAGAGTAGGAAAAAAATAAATGTTTCTAAGGTTGTTTAGTTTTTCCCATTCCAATCCTAAGTGGTTTACCTCAGACTGATTAACTAGAAGCTCAGACCATTTCTGCCACTGGGGACATTTGACCCTGTCTTCAAATGTGGTTTCATTAGATGTCCAGCAGCATTGCTCATGGCTGTACCAAAACGCAGATAAGCAGACACCTTCTTTCAGGTCTGTCATCCAGTCCACAGCTAAATCTATAACTCCAGCTAAAGTGCCTGAGGAAAAAAAAAAAAAACAGGAAATAAATAATGACGGGAACACCACAGCTAAGTAGAAAATATATCCAACTAATTATAGTATGTGAAATGTTTGATCTGGAGGCCCCATTACAAGGTAAATGTAAATACACCAAAAACCTATGGTAAATAGTAGCAAGTTAGTAGGGGAACTCAGCCAAACCAAAATGTCTGCTTCTATATTTTATTTAGCAATGTTTCTTTTTGATATCATGATACACACCTTATCTCAGCACCTGACAAAAGGGAAATCATGTTGCATATACAAACATAAGACCCAATCCTGCAATTTGATCCATGCAGGTGTGCTGATTGGCCTACCGCAGCTCTAGAGAGGTCAGTAGGACTCACACAGGCAGAGGGGTGCACATGTACATATCAGATTGCAAGATCAGGGAAACAGTTCTGCACTGCAGATGGTGTGGGTGGTGGTTGCACATACACCCATTAGACTTGCTATGTGCATGCTGATAAGCAAAGAGTGTGACCCGAGTAGTAAAAGGAATACTAGGGGAGAAATCCTGCTTTACTAAATCTGTTGCAGAAAAGCCAGTCACTTCAAAGGGACCCAAATATTGTCACTTGTGTATAACTTGAACGGTAACTTAAATCCCAAGAACAAATATTTTCAGAAAATCCTCTCTTTATGAGAGGCAAGGTTCTTTGGGCAGATGTGATATCTTTTATTTGACCAACCAAGTAGTTGGAACAAAGTTCTTTGCAAGCTTTCAGGCACAAGTACCCTTCTTCAGGCATAGGGAGACTCTGTTGTTGTTCTGAGATCTCCAAGGATCTCTTTATAAGACTTATTTTTCATCCCACAGACAGCTCTTCAAAATAATTATATAGAGTAACAGTGACATCCAGTGGCCAACTGACATGACTACATAGGGGCTTGTTGCATGGTAATTTGGAGTAGCTCCTAGTGCTCTTAACACCTGGATGGTCCACATATTAACACCTGAAATTAGTCTGAAATACTCATTAGGAGGCTCAAAGTTATGCCACTCCAGGGCAGGATTATCTCTGATGCATGTTACTCAGCTTGTGTTATACTAAGGTGTAGCTGCTCTAGACTACACATTAGTGTAAACACTTCAACTGCACCCCTACCCTGCTAGCCTGGATTAAACCCACTGCCCCTACCTACCCACCCTCCCTGCTCACTGCCCCCTTCCCAACTTACTTGTAAGCAGGAGAGGCCCAGGGAACAGGGGGCTGGAGGGAAGCCCAGAACTGGGGAGAGGCAGGGATTCTTACCTTTCAGTCCTCAGGGCCAGGCTCCTGCTGGCTTGAACCTGTGACTGCTGCAAACCTGACCCCATGCTCCCCACCCCCTCCCTTATTCTTCCAGGGCC